AGTAATAAAAATACACAATGGAAATGTGTGAGTATTAGTTCAGTTATGTTCTGTATTTTGGGCATGTAAAGAAAACGCAGTGCTTGAGTAAAAAAGATGGGACTTGTTTTGTTGTTGGTGCTGTTTCTGTTTTCGGTTCAGTTTGTTTTTAGTTGTAAGATTTAAAGCCAAAAAAAAAAAAAGAGTATCTTCAAGCCTTCCTTTTTTTGTTACACTTTTCAGAAAGTGGATTTCACCACAGGAGAGGAGACGGAGTCAAAGGAAGTGGATAAGAAGAAGGTCCTGAGTGGAGAAGAGCTCAGCAAACAGCTGGACAGACTCCTTCAGGACAAAGCCAACAACCAGCGTATCCGAGACTGGGTTGAGGTGTGTGTGACAGTACTAGTGATGTTGCTCATGTTTTATTTTACATGCCAATACTCCAGGGTTTTTAAAGATATTAAACTTGCATGAGTAACTTAAGTTCCTTCTTTTCGTTTTTTTTTTTTTTTTTTCTCTCTCTCTTCCAGGCTAACATGGACGAGCAGCAGATGGCTTCCAACCAGTTCGTACGAGCACTGATGACATCAGTGTGTCAGTCTGCCATCATATGTAAGTATGACTGATACAGCACGTAGAAGTGAGAGCTGTGTGTTGGTCTTTTCACCTCACAGCAGCAGCAGCTTGAATTCTCCATGGAGAAAAAGTTTCAGTATCACTGATGCACCGATATCACAGAACGCACACCACAGTATTTGATTGAGTCGGCAGCTCAGGAAGTAAACATTCATTACGGTACGGGATGAGTTTTACCTGTGATCATGGTTTGTCTGAACATGTTTGTTACTCCTCATTTCAGGCGACAACCCGTACAGGGTGGACGCACGGCAGATCAACCAGAGGGCCAGTCTGCTGCAGAAATACCTGTGTGATGAGCAAAAAGAGCTGCAGGCCCTTTACGCCCTCCAGGCTCTGATGGTGCACATGGAGCAGCCTGCAAGTGAGTGTCCTGCTATTAGTCTGCCTCTGCTGGGAGTAAAGGGTTAACGCTGGACATACAGAGGGAGACAAATACCTTTGTAATACAACAGCCCTATAAGAAATACTATAAATAAGTGGAGTTCATAGTTTTCAGGTTTTGACTGTTTGATTGATTATTCAATCAAATCTGGTCATTACTGAGACTCAGAACTTTTTGATATTTGTGACTAAGTAAGCAACAATCAGAGTTGAAGTTAAACTTATATATTTTTTTTTAACTCTAACAACTGTGAAGAGATTGTGGCTGCATCCAAAATGATTCCCATATAATGCATTGCATTTACTTTCTGTCATTTTATTTAATTGTCCAAATTGTGAGTGTCACATCTATGCAGTACATTTAAAAAAAAAAATCCCACAATGCTACAAAGAAGTAGTATCCATGATATGTTCATTACTTTCTATTCACTATCCCACAATGCAATGCTTCCATTTGATAGATGCAATAACACATCGTTCACTGATGACACAAAACTGAGGATTCATGAATGTCAGAAGACTTGGTTTACTGCTCACTAGAGGGTAACTATTAGTGCTGATTATGTAACGAGTTGTGAATGAGCGGCACAACTGTCTGATTCTTATGATACATTCTGATTGGTGGGAGGAAAAGTGACAAATTTTTTCCCCCATGATTTCCTCCCCAACATCAAACCAGTGAGAAGAGCACAGACAAAAACACTGACACAGCAATAAACAGTATTGTTCTATCTTTAGCAGGCAGTAGTTGATTCATGTGATTTTTAGAAAAATGCAGTTTGAGCTCTCCACACTAAAGCAGAGAAAAATGTTTCCTTTGTGCCAAATTTGCTGAATCTTCCTAATATCAGAAAGAACCTCTCTGGATACTGACACTTGGTGCTAATTTGTATTTGACCAGTGAAGCTGCCTTTTGTAATTGGTTCATTTTTGTCTCTTTCTCTCTAAGTACAAAATAATGAACTGTAACCAGACAAAAGTATAAATAATGTCATATGCCAAGCGCAGAATATCTGCATTAGCAAAAATAACTGACTGAAGGACACTTGATGGGATATTTGTTTAAAAAGGACAAAGTTATATAAATGTCTTCATCACACAGCAGAAACTAAACAGTATGAGCTTGTGTTTATTTCAGGGCTGTTGTATTGTATGGTTTGTCCCCCCCCCCCTCTCACCTGGCAGCAAACATTGGGTGAAGTGTAATTTGCGGCAACAGTACCCTCGGTTGTTTCATTACCAACGCAAGATCAGTGCTGACCCGTGTGTTGTGTCTCTGCAGACCTGCTGCGGATGTTCTTCGATGCCCTGTATGATGAGGACGTAATTAAAGAGGAGGCCTTCTACAAGTGGGAATCCAGCAAAGACCCCGCAGAGCAAACAGGCAAAGGTGTGGCCTTGAAATCCGTCACCGCCTTCTTCACCTGGCTCCGTGAGGCAGAGGAGGAGTCTGACAAGGAATAAAAGACTGAACTGAAAGCTGCCGCCCCTCCCTATGGCAAAGGCGGGGGCTCTGCAGGCGGCTGTCGAGAGTCATGGACAATATTGCCAGAGAGGCAGACTCGAAATCAATCCTCAGTGAGGATAAATCTTTATTATTTTCTCTTTTCTTTGAGGGATGGACTCAGAAAACAATCATTTCTCTCTCCCCTCCCTCTCTTGCTTCCTCATTATTTCCCCACCTGCTTGTCACAGCAAGTGTCCTAATCAAATAAACTTGAAAACTGATTCAGCAGGATTGCTTGTTAACAAGGTGTGAAGTATCCCACATCACTACGAAACTCTTTTTGTCACAATAATCCAAACCAACAGGCTGCTTTTCTATGGTTATAATGCCTAACAACCTATCTGGTCTGCAAGAATAAACAGCAGGGTGTGTGGTGTAGTGGGTTCCCTGATGCGTGGGTATCATCATGCCATAATGTGTGTTCAATCCAAACACAGCTCTTCTATGTCTTTGTCCCTTACTGGAGTGTGCAGCATGTCTGAAGTGTGTTTCTATTAATTATACAGGGGGCGAAACGTTGGTAGACAAAATGTACATGAACTAATCTTAATTTGATGGATGGAGTTTTTAAAGCAAAGGTTGTCTATTTTCTCTTCCTGTTTCCTATCATGAACTTAAAGAGGACAGAAACACGGAGGACTGATGTTGACCTTTGACCTTGACTACTAGGGGGTGGTCTTAATGCTTCCTCTAAGCCATCCTCACCCATCCCCAGTAGTGAACCACACTGACTCTTCATCTTTACCTCTTCTGTACTTAAACCCGAGCTGTCATAAAGGACACTTATTGACCCAATCACCATTAAAACTTGAAGTCTACAGAAAATTGACTTGATGAAATATATAGAGTTAAAAAAAACAAACAAAAAAAAAAAACAACAAAAAAACAAAAAACAAACAAACACCACAGAAATGATCCGAAAGCCTTTTCTACTTTAAGTGGAAACTCATTTCAGGAGCGTTCTGTAAATATATAATATTAATGATAATAATTAAAAAAACGAACTTTTTTTTCCAGTTTTATTTTTCAGAAACAATAAATTGCTGATGTAATTGCAGTGTATCCTTTTCCAACAGCAGTTGTCCGGATGCAGAGAGGTGCTTTAGATAATCCATTGATTATTAGTTTTATTGGAATTTTGTAAATATTTTTTTGCTTTCTTTATTTAAGAAATTATTGCTTCTTTTGCATCGGAAACTGGAAAGATGAGGTAACGGAACATTGCAAATAAAGGACTTATTAAGTTGCTGAGCAGAGTTTTGTTATAAATCTGTCAAACATGTTGGATGTCCCAGTCATTTTATAGTTGTGTATGTTGTGGATATGGCTGGTTATTGGGGACTCATCAGTCTGATACTGACCTTATAAAGCAGATCGGGTTTCAGCCATGACTTCACCAAATCACATTAAATACACTTTGTGTCATAAACCTTCAACATGACCATTGTCGCCTACATTCATTCAGTCACAGTGAACCGATAGCGGAGGTCAGAGATTTTAAATATGGGGGAAAAGAAAAGATTGAATTTGTGCACCCACAAGTCAAGTCATATGGTCATGTTAACCCAATGACCCTCACTGACCCCTGTGTTCCGCCCGTTCTGTGCATTATGTATATTTCTAATCATGTGCAGTGTGCACAGCTTAGACTACATGGTAGCTTCATTATAATTTGTACAAATGCCACGAACAATTATTTTTATTAATTGTTCAGTGTTTAAAATCCCTCAGAGCCCAAGATGACGACTTCAAATTGCTTGTTTTGTCCAACCAGCGTAAAAACGAGATTCCATTTACACTCATTTAAAACAAAGAGAAGCTAAAACCTGTGACTCATTTTATTGATTAACTAACTAACTAACGGTTCCAGCTGCTGTGATTTGTTTGTGGTCCCAGATGTTTGCTTTAACACTGTCTGGCCCCAGGCTGACTGCATGACACGTTAATCTGCACTCATGTGATTAAACACTAATATATTTAGGAATATGCTCCATGTAAAGAAAACAAATCGAATTCAACAAAAGAAAGTGCTTCTAGAAGACGGAGCCTGAATTTGAGGTAATAATTTGTTTTTAAGACCCTTGCCACAGTGAATGTAGGGGGGGGGGGCGGCCCCGGAGGTCTGGGGCCACGGGGCAGTAGCCCGCTTTGTGCTCTGCGCATGTGTCTTGTTATGCTGTTACACTGCAGGTTAACACAACTGATCGAATCAGGTCAAACTGGCTTTCCACTCTGCTTTTCTTTTGGCATCAGGCCGCAGTAAATTTCCACACATGAGCAGTCTGTCCATCCTGCCCGCGTCCTGTTGAGTGTGTTCACCGAATACCTGCCGATGAATGCGCTGAAATGTGTCTAAAATAAAAGCTGCAGTGCTTTCTAACACCAAAGCGGCAGGTTACCGTATCTTGATGTTGGCTGCATCGGGTAGGGGTAGGGGTAGGGGAAGGGGGTGGGGGGTGGTGGTGGGGTGGGATGGGATGTGACACCGCCTTGCGTTGATGACGCTTGCCATCGGGAGACATTTGGACAGCCTATGTAACCCATATACCGAGCAACAAATGGTGCGTGTGCGCCGCAGATGTGATGCTGGAGTTAGGAGGATGTTTCCGCCGACTGTGTGGCTTTAACGCTGTGCTGCAGACCCTGCTGCAGGAGGACGAGCCGCGCGGTATCATCTGTTGATCGGATCGGAGACAATTAAAGCGCATTATCATGAGCCGCCGCGGTCCGACTTACAGGTAGGTGAGGAGAGTCGCTGTGAGTGAAAAGATCACAACCGGGCGAGCTTCGTTAGAGCTGTGAAGGTGTATATAAAGGGCAGGGGGCTCTTTGGTATTTCCGAGGTGTTTATCCGATGCAGGTATGGAGCTATTGGTATGCAGATGGAGACTTCAGAGGTTGCCAGGAGACCCGCTGCTGCATCCGCGCCTGTCGTGCGCTATTTTCCCCGTAATTGCAGGCTACAGGCCTGCACCCATCAATGGCGGGGTGATGTGTTATTCAACCGCTTCTGTTGCTTGAATGCACCATTTCCAGAAAAAAAAAACACACGCACACACACACACACACAACTCATCACATCAGCACTGCAGCTCCCTCCATTCATTCCAAGAGACAGACTCAGGGCTGAAGATGTTTTGGCTGCAGACAACTAACTCGATCCCACTTGTTGGTCCTATAGGTCACATCACTGACTCTGGGGATGTCAGAAGAGGAGGCATCACTCCTGTTTGACATGTTTAGTAACATCATGTTGACACCAGGCTGCCTCTGCAGGGAGCAGACAAAATGACCCCAACACCTCAGGAAAAGGGGAACTTGATTACAACTGCAAACACTGCTGCGCATGTAGTTGTTATTAGGGTGAATGCCAATTAGCAGCAGTTGTCAGCTGAAAAAGAGGCCTGGCAATCAGCAGGGTGAAGTGTGAGTCTTTCAGATCAACATTACACATTTTACAGCTCCGGAGAGGCTAAACCATGTGCAGGTGCAGTGGTGAAAGAAAAGTGAAAATTTCACAGGGAACAGTTTCAGAAATCACAACAAACTGAGTGTCAAATAGAGGAGGGCTTATTTGATTGATCATTTTTTGATTATTTTTTGACTGATAAGATTATTATTTAGTCTAAAAAGAGTAGAACATAGTGGGGAAAGAAAACCCATTTGTGTCCCAGAGCCCAAGGTGATATCTTTAAATGACTTATTTTCTCAAGTCAACAGTCCAAAACAACAAAATATTCAATATACAGTTACTTGAAAGAAAGAACTGGAACAAATAAATATTTAAATTTTTATCATTTATCAAAACTGTTGTTTGACATTTATACTGTAGTGGTTCCAACCTGAAGGGCTGGGACACTTCCAATGAATCTGAAAGATGAATCCGAGGGGTTGCAAGAAAATAAGAAATAAACCATATAAATCATATATATATATACTTTTCTTAAATTGAACAGCTTGTGTAGTTGCTACACATTTTTCACAGTCAATACATTTTGGAGGTCAGAAACCCACTTTGCAGAGCTCAGACACACAAGCTGTGACGAGGGGTCACAACTAGATACAACAGAGGACACAAGGCAAAAAAGGTGAGACGGTTGACAAATGCTGCTGCCTGGCTTATGACCTAATATAATCCACATTTGTAGCAGTGTTTGCATCTGCGAGGGGTCAAGTGTTTCTTGTTTTGACTACCTGCTTGCAATAAGATTATTTAAAAGTTGAGCACTCGTGGTGCTGAAAGCCGTGTGTCTGAGTCTCAGGAGGGAGCCGTTGCAGAGCGCCACATGCTGAACCTGTGTTGTGTGTGTGTTGAGCATGAGTGACACCTGCAGAGCTCAGGAAGTGTGTGTGTTTTTTAGCAGCTCTTCTGAGGGGCGTTGAACGTCACACAGAGCTGTGGTAGCTGTTCACACCTTCGTATCGCTGCCTCCCAGGTCCCTATTGGCCTGTTTGCCTCTGACACACATTTACTGTCATTTTTGACTTTATCATAAGCCTTTCACCGCAGTCAGGAGCCTCTTCTTTCTTAGCTGCTTTGGGAGCAAATCTACTTAAGGATATCTGTCAAGTCATGCACGTGCTCAGAGTCGTGCTCAGGCAACATGTTTCCTGCTTGTTGAAAGACTCACCTGCCCTAAAAAACAAGACATATTTCAAGCCTCTCTCATGGTCTTCTGGCACAGATTCATCCGACCCATGAGATCTGCTATATGCAGCCAAATGTGTGTTTGTTATGGACATGGGGTTAGTTAGGTAGTGCTATCACTTTTAATAGGGATCAGCAGCTTTGGGGTGAGCAGGCCTGGCTGGAGCTGCTTACCAGAGCTGGTGACATGCCATATGTCTGCCAGTTTGCATAGAGAGTGTCACCATTGCCCTCACATCCCTCAGCCCCAACCATTTTAACTGGTTTCACCGGCTTACCATGGCTTTAGCATCTGTGCAGTAAATTTAGGGCATAGCTGTTTGCTTGTCTGCCTGGTGGTTTAAACCGGTAAACCCAAGCTGTGACTTTTAGTTGTGTTGGTTCGCTGCGCTGTGACACCATCTCTCCATGTCCATGATGAGGCTGAGGTCCAGGGGTAGAGAAATAAGGGAGGATGAGGTAGGAAAAAGTCTTTCTAACAGTATATATCTGCAGCTGTCTATCAGTATGTCTCTCAGACACGTGATTCGTGTCTGAGAGCTGAAATAACTAGGTAGTGTTGGAGCAGGCTCACACGAATGTAGACAAAACGGAGCTTATTTTCTCCTTTCATGCTGTGGTGCAAAAAAAAAAGTTTTGCAAAAAAAATCAAATCTTTCTTGCAGGTGAAATTTGAGGAGAGTGAAATGATTCCAAAGTCAGGAAAATCTCCAGCAGACTCACGGAAAAGTGTCGGCATCCATGAGTTTGCAGCACTTGCCAGATCCTCCTTAAACGGTAACAACCTTTTTTTTACTCTATGATTAAATATCTTAAATGTCTTGAGATACAGCTTCAGACTCTGACCTCCACTTCTCTGTTTGCAGGTATTTCGCAGGCAGTGAGGGACCATGTGACAAAGCCCACCTCCCTGGCTCAGGGCCGGGTCGCCCACCTCATAGAATGGAAAGGTTGGCCCAAACCAGCGGGCCCCTCGCCGGCTGCCCACTCCCACTTCAGCTCCTACTGCCATCTGACTGAAGGAGAGAAGGAGGCCCGGTTTGCTGCAGGTATTTATTTCTGTGACGCATACTGTCCCTCACTGTTCCCTATCCGGTTTTTTACGCTTTCAAAATACTTTGTGACGAGACGCGAGTGCAGTGTAACTAGCTGGTGTCTGTATGTCACTTGTCTGTTTGTGTGGGCATGTGCATCCTCTTATATTTAGCTTGGTTTAGCTCCAGCATCATCTCCTGGCCGGCGCCCACCTTCTGTCATGCACTTAATCCCCTAAAACTCCTGTATGTCAACGGTCCGCTCCGCCCTCCGTGCTGTCTCTTGGGTGACGGCTTGTCTTGGCAGCAGATGGTGGCCTATTAGACACTCTCCCAAAACACTTCACTGCCCACCAATGGTACAGCAGCTCCTGTTGTTTTGCTGTGACTCATCCTCTCTGGCGCCCGTGACATCGGCATGGTTTGATCAAAAGAGAGAGTTGAGAGAGAGAGGGGGAGGGAAGTAGGGTACACAGTGAGTGTACATTAGAAAGTCTGTATTTTCAGTCTGACAAACAGACATTTTGTTTCGTTTTCTAGATTTTGAAAAAGCTTGTGACCCGAGCTGAAACAATCAGTCAATTGACAAAATTATTTATGTGAACTATTTTAATAATCGATTAACCATTCGACTGCTGTCTCAAGCAAAAATTCAATTCAATCAATTCAGCTGCTGTTAGTGACTTCAGTGGGACTTTATTGTTTTTCTCTATTTTATATAATTTTTTAAAATATTTTTTGCATTTTGTTAGTTAGCCGGTGTTTGATGGATTAAACTATATTCAAGAAAATAACGGAAATTATAAATCATTAATTTCATTTCAATCTCGCATAACAGTTTGTTTCTTGAAATGATAAAGAAGGAAAATGTGTGATACATAATATATTCTGCAACTTCCAGTATGGAAACAAAGAAAAACTTTGTTTAATATAGATATTGATATATTGGCAAAAACACCGGAACAATCGGATTTCAGTGCTTTTTATCCACTTTAATGAGTCGCAAGAACAAATCTTAGGCATCAAGGGAAGGATTAGCAGGATACAAAAGACGTGAAGAACACGTGATTTATGCTTATTTCTTCACATTTTCCTGTAATCTTTGCTTTTTCTTAATTATCAGAAAATTTTACACCTAAAAGTTCAACTAAAACAAGGGTAGCTGTATATAACCATTCAGCCATTGCTTCATTTTAAGTCACCCGAAGAAACAAAGTCATGTGTATGGAGGTAGATTTGTTCCAATATTATTCATGTGAACAGATTGACAATCTGAGCATAAATATCATCAGTCATCTGTAAATATAAAACACCTTCCACAAATACAAAAGATAAATTTGCAAATTCACAAAAATGTCTTAAAACGGATTTGCAAATAAACAAATTCCACAAATACAAAAATTATCTGTGAATATATTCAATTAATTTACAATTAAATGAAAACTATGACTTACTATGACATTTTATACCTTACCATACTATGACTTCTTTATGCCTTACTTAGGCAAAAAAATGTCATAGTATAGTACATACATAAATTAATGTTTCAAGTGTCTCCAATTTAAGCCATTAACCATGCCTCTGTGATGTTTACATGAAAAGTCATTGAGCATGAAATAGAGAAGATCAGGAAGAAACATGAATGCATTAACATCTGTGTTCCTATTAGGAGTGGCTGAGCAGTTTGCCATCGCAGAGGCTAAGCTGCGTGCCTGGGCGTCTATCGATGATGATGACGAGGAGGAAGACTCCAACGATGAAGACACCCACAGCAACGGACAGACTCACACCTTCTCCAACCAGAGCTCAGGTATCCACTACGCATCCATTTTGTTCATTTCATCTCATTTCACTCATCGTCTTCATTTTGTGCGTCATCACTGACAAAACGCCTCATCTCCCCGCCCCCTCCCCCAATAACCCACCCATCCTCAGGTGTTCTGACTCTTTGCTCCTCCCTCAGACGACGCCACGTCCAATACTATCACCGGAGCGCCACGCCAGCCTGAGGTGGACGGCGGTGAGGCGCCACCCTCCTCCGATAGTCCCCTGGGCTCCAGCAGCAGCAGCAGCAGCCTGCTCTGTGGTAGGCCTGCATCTCACAATGACCCACATTCATCCCAGACCAATTCACCTACTTTACCCAGCGACTGCATGAGTCCATTCCTGGAGGAAGAGGAGGAGGAGGAGGAAGAGAGGCTGGGCAGTCATGAGGAGCAGCCGGCTCCTTTGCAGGAGCAGCACAGCGAGGTCTGCATCCACCACAAGCCTGAGTGGAGGCCTCGGGGCAGGAGCAGCAGGTTCGACTCCTGCTACTCCACCTCTCACTCCGAGTCCCCCGGAGAGGAGGACGAGGAGGACGAGGAGGAGGAAGGCAGCGTGTTTCATGATGGCCGAGTGTGGCACTGCAGCCCGAGGAGCTTCTTCTCTGATCGCGCTTCTTCTGGAGTGGCCTCATTCGATGAGGAGGAGGAGAGGGATGAAGTAGAGGAGAAGAAGGAGGAGAAAGAGTATTTGATGTGATGTATTGTCCATCTTTATGTCTCTTTGAGTCCGTGTTGATTCTGGATATGACATAATCTATTCTGCTTTCACTGTAAACCTCTCTCCACCACCTCCTCCTCCTCTCCTGTCCTTCCTCTGATCATGTCTCCTCCACTCGCTGCCTTCTGTCTCATCCTCCAGGCCTTCCATGTACTGATCTCCCTCCACCGTTGATCGCTGCTGTAAACAGTATATATATATATGTATATATATATATATACATATATATGTATATATATGTATATATATATTGGAGAGTTCAACCAGAATGTAAAGCTGTTGTTCAAACTGAGTTTTGTACATTTTTTTGTCATGTGAGTCATGTGTTGCTATTGCATTGGTTTTCTATGGATATTTTGTAGTGTTGTTTTATTCGGGGTCATGCTGTGTCATGTGGGGTAGGGCTATGTTTGATACTGAATGTCTGAGTGTCCTACGTATATAAATACGATTTTTTTTGAAAGAAAAGTCTTTGTCCTTTTTTCCCCTCCACACAAACACAAACTACACACACGAGGAAGAAACACAATTTCTCATCTTTTAAAGGTGTTTTTTTTTTTTCCCCTTTCAATTTAATCATTCACTCATGTACAAAAACAATTTCATGTTCTCTGAAAAATAACAATGGCTGTTGGATTTCAAATGCATAATTCTCCTATGTACAGAGCGTGTACATAGATCTCATCCGTGTATTTTCATATGTACAAAGCATATACAGGCCAGTGCCATATAAAGGGAGATACTACAGACTTATTGCTTAACTAGATACGCTGCAAATTAGCTTATACACTCTACATTTAACTCCTTATACGTTATCTTATATGGCGAGCACTACTACACATTCTATATGCAAACAAAAAGTTGAGACGTTAATAAATTGTTGCACAAATGTTTACACAGACAAAAATGAGCCCGAATTGGTGCGCTGCTGTGATATCACATAAGATTGAAATATGGCTCAAAATTGTTGCATGAAGCTAAAATACTTACACCCATTTGAAGGTCGTAACAAGGACTCACACGCACACACTTTGCTCTACAACAGTTTTTGGACTTGTGGGTTTATCACTGTGCTTCATACAGTAGTTACACTTCTCAACATTGTATTGGAGGCCAGGCTGGATTAAATGTACTCTGTCATAAAGATATGTGTAACATATCAAGGTGTAAATATCTACAGGCCGCTTACAGTGCATGTGTGTGTGTGTGTGTGTGTGTGTATAAGTGTGTGTGTGTGTGTGTGTGTGTATATAAGTGTGTGTATGTGTGTGTTTTGTGTGCTCTGTACAACAGCCAGTATCTTCCTGTCACTCGGAGCTCAAGTGTTGTTCCTTTATCATGCTAGAAACACGTTAAACACAGTAAATTCACGTAGCAGGAGATGCAGAGGCAGTTCAAGAGAAGAGACTGACAGTCTACATTGCCCTTATTGAATCAGCCTCTATAAAGCCAAACAAGGCTACATGTGCAGTAAACTATATTCATGGTAATTACAATGTGCTTCACCATTATTTGGAGCCCTGTACTAAGCTTAGTGGACCTTTGGAAGCTGCCTTTGTCATCGTGTGAATAGATCACAGCTGATTTGTGGATTTTTGGGGGCTGATTAAATACAAATATAAGCTGTGGCATGTAACTCTGTAGAGCCTGCAGAGTGTTGTAAACAAGGGAGTCTGGACAAACTAAAGATGATATTGTTGCCATTAAATCACCTGTTAGTGCATTAACACTCTATAACCAACAGCTGTATATCTTAATATTATCAGCGAACATTTCAACAACCCTCTGATGTATTTGTCCAGTGTTAGTGAATAGGTAGTTGTTTACCATCATGTGCTCATTAGAATAATTTTCCATGTCTTTGTTCTGCTGTGCTTTCTTCTCTATTATTTGCCCCTTTTATTTATCACCCTCCATTATTTGCATGTGACTTGTTTTTCTCTCCTTATAATGTTTGCAAGTCATGTTTGTTTATGATGTGTAAGAGTCTGGATCCCATTTCTGCATGGCAAGTGAGGTGTCAGAAAGTCACACACACACACACACACACACACACACACACACACACACACACACACACACACACACACACACACACACACACACACACAGGGATATTCTATATTTGTTATTGCCATCAAATCCCATGAAAAGGCCAAACTAGTATTTTTCTGTGTCACCAAAGCCTGATATAATTTATTTCTGCGCGCCACAGAGCTCCACTGTTGTTCCTAAAACAATTAAAAACACAACAAAACATGTTTTTGCACTGGTCGACATGATCCTCCATCACACTAAACATGCGCACTGTCGTTTATTTTTGAGTCAAATCCCACAAATATCGTCCCACTGCTGTAAAAACGTGTTACTTACTTCAATTACGTTTGCTACAAACCAGTGTTCACCTACTCTAGGACATTATTTTGCTTTTTTTTTTTTAATAGTGAGCCTCGTAGTTACACTGGGTGACATGTTCCTTTATCATGATGAATTTGGGTAACGTCCCACATACAAAATCCTAGTTCTGTAAACACTCACTAGAGGACAGAGTGTGTATTAATCCACGGCTGAATATAGTCCCCAATAAAAGCACTACTTGATCTTGAAACTGTTCAATTATTGGGAGAAATGGATCCATCGCAATTACAACCAAGCCACTAGTACAAGAAAGTCAATCAGTGTCACGGACCAAAAACTATGAAAATGCATCATTTCTCATGGAGGTCTTATATACACAGTCAAATGTTGCTCCGTAATTGGAACCGTCACCAAACGCAGTGACACGGACAGAAAGCGAGGCGTCATCAGTTACGTCATACGTCTAGAATGATCCGTGTGTCGATGCGTGCTTCACCAGAAAAGCTCAGTTAGACTTGAGACACGCTTCCAAACCTCAACTTCTCATATAACATCACTTGTTGTTTTCAGACCTAACGGACGCCGACTCAAGTGACATCATGATGCGTAAACTCAATAGCGTTTCCGTTTAAAGATTCATGAATGAATGAGCTTGGGGCTGAGAGTCACAGACAGGGCAGGTCCGTCAGAAAGAGTAAGAAGACGGACAAACCCATTGGTCCTTTTGGTCTTTTCACAGGATGTATTGACAGAAATAAAAATATATAGAATAAAACCAGGTTTATCCTTTAAATAGGCGTCTGCGCAGTAGAATACTCAATGTCACATCTACCCAAGCTCACCCTCACTCGCTCACTCACACCACAACGTTAGAAACTCAGGTATCTAGGCTGGACTTGGAGTTGAGTGTGACCTCTACAAATGTAAGAAACGTCAGTATTCATGAGGCGTCAGTATGGATCTGGTCATTCTGATTGATCCTCAGTGTGGGCGGGGCTACCCTCTCCCTCAGGTTCTGATTGGTCCTTGTTCAGAGATGGACTGCTCTGTTCTTGCTCTGTGTCGTCTGGCTCCGGAGTTTGGGTGGGGGGGTCATAGTCACAAGCCAGCTCTGATTCCTCAGTGTGGGAGGGGCTGCAGTCAAAAGTAAACTCGGACTGGTCCTCGGTGAGCGAGGGGCTTTCCTGGAGCACCAACTCCGACTGATTTGTGATGTCGTCGGGGCTGGTTTCAAACTGCAAATTGGTTTGGTCCGAGAAGTTGACCGGGATCTCTTTGTATTGGAGATCAGGCTGGTCCTCCACGTCAGGAGGGTTGGGTTCCCGTGGCAACGAGAGCCCCCTGTGGCGGATGCACAGCTTGTGTAGTTCAGTTACCTCGGATACGCTTGTGGTGTTCCCACTGTCACGGAAACTGGCCAGCGGAGGACGCACTTTGACTCCAGTCACTGTCACCGAGCCCTCGATGGCCTTACGCAACTGCAGAGCCAATAGGCGGCATGGAACAAGAAAGAAAGCACAGCCAGTGGAAGCATAACATGAGGCACAGACAGGGAATAGGGAGAGAGAGGGTGAAGTTTAATGATCATAGGCAGAAAACATTCTCTATCAGACATCAACAAATGAAGGAAACGCACCTCTTTGAGAGAGACCACTCCGACCAGACGTCCCATGCTCGTCACATAGGCGTGATCCAGACCCAGCAGAGAGAAGATAGTGTGAGTCTGTGGAGGAGGAGAGGTGGGTCATGGCCTGGATACAGACTCAGGGGGTTCACCTGGATTTTGGGTCAGAGTTTTTGTAAACCATAATACTGGGATCAGTCTGCATGATGTTCTTGCCTCTCATGACGGTCACTGTGTCAGACTAGAGTCATAAATTCTTGCTCTTGTGAGACATGGCATGACTACACTTTGGACACTAACCGGTCATAGCTTGCCGATTACGAGTCATGTGACACGCAGAGGTGATCGCAATGAAGGACCTGACACCGTGGTGTACATATGGCATCACAGTTTTATGAAACTGTAAGTGAAACCATTCACAGTCATTCAGCAGTGCAGATGGGCTCTGTCTTTATCCTTCCCAGCTGTTAGGAACAGGGTGAGTGTGTGGGTGTGCAGAGGTTGATATTGTATACTCCTGATCCAAGGGTGACAGCCAAATGGTTACAGGTTCCCTGGAATGAAATAAATCATCATCCCTCTCTCGCCGCTTTCCTGTGTTTATAGCTTTGTATAAAAAAAACAAAAAAAAAACAGCTGTATTTTCCTCTGTGTCAGTGTGAAGGAAAACATTGCGAGAGTTGTCACAATCTGAAGCTATTTTTGTTCCTAACACCTCATGTCTGTCTGGTTGGGGTATTACTGGGGTGATACAGTTTAGTCCGATCCCAGCAATAGTCAAAGAACTGAAACCACAGTGAGGAAAGACACCAGAAGTATGTCACCAGAGAGGTCATTCAGGTTAGGCTGATACTACACAATAACACTACATTTGGAAAGCATCTGACATATTTCCGGAGGACTCAGTCAGGTAGGAAATTAAAAAAACAATTCTTAGCTCATTTTCCTGGGCATTTATTGTTTACAATTCATATTTCATGACGATGAAAACTACCTGCTGTGGTGAAAAGGTCGATTTCTTTTCACAGTGTGTTCAGGGGCTTTTTGCTGATATCTTACCTTATGCAGAGACGTTTGCTCCACCAGCTGGAAGGGCGCGGGATCAATCTTGCAGTTCTTGAAATCCACCGGTTCATCGAGCTGCTGCTCCTCCCACTCTGCTATCTGAGACGAGAAGGGTGACGAGACACTGAAAACTTCTAAACTGTGACTCGGAAAACTCCATTTTGTACATTTAAAAAAAAAGTTTGTGTAGGTCTCACCTCTGATGGAGTCATGCAATCTTCCACCTCAGTAGAGTCCTGAAAGACAAAAAAAAATGGGTAAGACATACATTGTTCCTACAAATACACACACACACACAAGTGTAAAACAGAGCTACACAGCATTATGTAAAGTAAATACAAAGTACCAACACATTACACTGTGAGGAATCTGAGGGAGTGATC